CTCTACCACCCAACCACACAGCTCGACATTTCTGACCGAGGTTTATGACGTCAGCGGATTAAAATATTCTTGTCGCTGCACCTCTCTTAAAAAAAAACAAACCCATCTGATCCCATAACATTAATTTTTAACCAATAGGTTTAAGTTGTCGAACAATTTGCAAATACACAGAGAAGAAAATAACCTCCGACAATAGGATAAGGATAGAATATCTGATGTATTGTAAACATCATTTAAACATTGCCCGGAGACAACATTGTAATTTTAAACGTTAAGGAACTTCTTAGGTATAGTTGTGTAATTTCTTAATTTATTGTAATTATACATTCTTTTCTGTGTTGTCAACCCTTCCCGGGGCAGCGACCTCCAGTACGTAACCTGTTGACTATGACTAAGAACTAACTAAACAAAATTGCCAGTTTGATTTTATTTTTCCGACTTACCGGTGCAGCTAGAGACATGGACCAAAGAAGAGCTAGAAACAGAACTTGCTTCATGTTGGTCTGGGGAAAAAAGAAACCGTAGACAGAAATTAGGACACATTAGTGTGTTTCTCTTATTTTCGTTTTTTATTTTATGTTAGTTGTGTATAAGTTGTGTATAAGTTGTGTATAAGTTGTGTATAAGTTGTGTATAAGTTATGTATAAGTTGTGTATAAGTTGTGTATAAGTTGTGTATAAGTTGTGTATAAGTTGTGTATAAGTTGTGTATAAGTTGTGTATAAGTTGTGTATAAGTTGTGTATAAGTTGTGTATAAGTTGTGTATAAGTTGTGTATAAGTTGTGTATAAGTTGTGTATAAGTTGTGTATAAGTTGTGTATAAGTTGTGTAAAAGTTGTGTGTAAGAGGGCCGATGTCATAAAGAACGATCACTCTTTAATTTATCATTGTGAAGTAAATGTGTATTCTTTATATATTTTCTTTATAGTTTTCTGTAAATTGTTGCTAAATTATTGGCTGGATTTTTCTCTACCTACTGACAATTGACTATAAATAAAAGTTTTTCTAAAATGTTTAGTGATTTTGAAATGATAGTATTTAAAATGTGCAGCTGTATTTTATTTATTTTTAATGTTAATAGAAAAAAATCTGCTTTAATTTTTACAATGAGCATTACTTAATTAAGTACCCTAGCATGTACTTAATACAGATCTCCATTACACTAAACTGCTTTAAAAGTGAACAAAACATTAATTTGTAGAAAAGTCAAACGTTGCACAAAGGGTACTCACACTTGTCGTTTGTGATGACTTGTTACGACGACGTAAATGCCAAAGTTGTAGATGTGATCAGTGTCGGCAATGTCTCAGTATATATAGAAAACATTGCTGTCTTCATTAGTGCTGCATGTCGATTACATTAATAAATTTGTAAAAATGACATTAAGAATTTTTTTAAATTCCCAATTTGTAAATGAACATGAACAGCGCTTTCACTTTGTCTGAACAATTTATCAAGAAAGAAAAACACTTGATTGACACAATCTTAGATTATCATCTCCTTATGCGTATTCTCCTTTGTACATAGCTGAAAGTAAACAATGCAATCAACATTTCTAATTATACCAGAGACGATCCCGTGATAAAGACATGCTGGATGTGGTGTTCAGGTCACTGTAACCTTAGACGTATGCACGCGCATGTGTGAGTACGGTTTAGTCTGTCCCCCGTGTTGAGTAAATTGATGATCAGATGAAGAGTTCAGAAAGTTAAAATATGAGGATATAAATTGTGTTGAAAGTTCAATGTGAGGATATGAATAGTGTGTTTACAGCTGAGTAGCCACGAGTAGAGAGATTGTGGGATGTGTGTGTGGTGGTGTGAGGGAAGCGATGTTCTGTAGCCACGTGTAGAGAGATTGTGGGATGTGTGTGGTGGTGTGAGGGAAGCGATGTTCTGTAGCCACGAGTAGAGAGATTGTGGGATGTGTGTGTGGTGGTGTGGGGGAAGCGATGTTCTGAGTAGCCACGAGTAGAGAGATTGTGGGATGTGTGTGTGGTGGTGTGGGGGAAGCGATGTTCTGAGTAGCCACGAGTAGAGAGATTGTGGGATGTGTGTGTTAGTGTGGGGGAAGCGAGGTTCTGTAGCCACGAGTAGAGAGATTGTGGGATGTGTGTGTGGTGGTGTGGGGGAAGCGATGTTCTGTAGCCACGAGTAGAGAGATTGTGGGGTGTTTGTGTGGTGGTGTGAGGGAAGCGATGTTCTGAGTAGCCACGAGTAGAGAGATTGTGGGGTGTTTGTGTGGTGGTGTGAGGGAAGCGATGTTCTGAGTAGCCACGAGTAGAGAGATTGTGGGATGTGTGTATGGTGGTGTGAGGGAAGCGATGTTCTGAGTAGCCACGAGTAGAGAGATTGTGGGATGTGTGTATGGTGGTGTGAGGGAAGCGATGTTCTGTAGCCACGAGTAGAGAGATTGTGGGGTGTTTGTGTGGTGGTGTGAGGGAAGCGATGTTCTGAGTAGCCACGAGTAGAGAGATTGTGGGGTGTTTGTGTGGTGGTGTGAGGGAAGCGATGTTCTGAGTAGCCACGAGTAGAGAGATTGTGGGATGTTTGTGTGGTGGTGTGAGGGAAGCGATGTTCTGAGTAGCCACGAGTAGAGAGATTGTGGGATGTTTGTGTGGTGTGAGGGAAGCGATGTTCTGAGTAGCCACGAGTAGAGAGATTGTGGGATGTGTGTATGGTGGTGTGAGGGAAGCGATGTTCTGAGTAGCCACGAGTAGAGAGATTGTGGGATGTGTGTATGGTGGTGTGAGGGAAGCGATGTTCTGAGTAGCCACGAGTAGAGAGATTGTGGGATGTGTGTATGGTGGTGTGAGGGAAGCGATGTTCTGTAGCCACGAGTAGAGAGATTGTGGGATGTTTGTGTGGTGGTGTGAGGGAAGCCGTGGTAAGAGTTTTGCGAGAGATAATGTTTAGGTAATGGTTGGTTTTTTTTTTAGACATTTTTACTCCTGGTGAGGGTCACCATTAAATTTCTGGATAGGGTCTTATGCTTGCTAGAGTTTATGTACTCTATATAAATTATATATTGTCTCATAATATTATATATTGTCTCATTTTTTACGGAAGTAGGCCGAAATGATTCCTGAAAGAAACTGATTTTAGACAGGTGAGCCGGTTAGAGCGTTCATTACGGTAGAAATGATGTGGAGAGAGGGAAAACATCAGAGGTTTTTCATGAATGTCGCGTAGTGACAGAGTGGGGGCGATGTAAACCCAGATTTGAAACGGACATCCCCTGACCAATCTAAATTTACTGTCACAACCAAGCAGTGCAGTGGGTGAGTATGTAAAGCATGGCGGAATTTAACCGGTGTAGCGGCTGGTTGCGTGGCTGAGAAAAATTCCCGCATGAACAGGTAATGGCCATACCACAGGTACATCGAGATGGGCTGTAGTAGTAGTGACGAAGATTGTGGAAACGTATGAAACAGTATAGTGATGTTAATGTACAAATAGCCGTTTTCAAATCAAGTTGATTGGTTGTATAATGAAACGAGGACCACATTGATATATATATATATATATATATATATATAATTATCTTGGTTGTAACGAACCAAACACCCGATAACACCACACCAAAGTGATTACAGCAACATCACCTTGGTGATTAATACACTATCACAACACCTAAGTGAATACCATATGATCTCCACAGCTAAGTGAATACTATAACATCACCACACAATTGTAATTACCATAACATCATCCCACCTTCAAGATTACCATAACAACACAACACCTTCGTGATTACCATAACATCACCACACATTCGTGATTACCACATCATCACCACACCTAAGTGAATACCATAACATCACCACACCTAAGTGAATACCATATTACCACACTCTTCTCTCGTCAATGAGATATAACGACAGAGTTACTTAGAGAAGAAAAGATCTATACCCTTGTTAGACATTTTATAGTGTAGGACTTACAAATCTAACCAATGTTTGCATTGTTGTGTCCGTCACTCACGATGTCCATTCACACTGACCTACACGTCAGAGTCTGCCCTCCTGTACCACGTGATGTTCTCTAAGATAACTCGATTCGCTTGTCGACTGTGTCGTATTTCATTCAATGAAAAGGTAACACACAATGAGAATATGATCAATCATGATGCTGTCAATCAATTTTTTCAATTGCCTATTCACAGTGTACACGACAAAGAAAGAAATGTAAATAAACAACTGACGCAAGTGGAGAATATTACTTGGACAAAAAGATTAACTAATTATTGATGCTTTAATTACGAATTCAACAAGCATTTGTTGTTAATCATTTGTAGATGACCTGTTCTATATGATAGCTGGGCTACCTCAGGACAAATTATCTCAAAGCAAATGATCTCTGAACAAATGATCTCCGGACAAATGTCAGGACAAATGATCTCAGTTTAAATCATCTCAGGACAAATGATCTCAGGACAAATGATCTCAGGACAAATGATCCCAGGAAAATGATTTAAGGACAAAATATATCAGGCCAAGTGATATCATGAGCAAATGATCTTTGATATCTCGAACAAAATATCTCAGGGTAAAATATTATTAGCATAGGATGAACCAGAATAAACACAAGGGACCTTTTCAATGTGATTAATCATATTGATCTAATACTGGCCTGGGCGTAATATGTTTTTCTCACATTTCAACGTTTGTCTTAAGACAACATTAACTGACCGAATTCGTACTATGTCAAAGTGACCCTGAATGTGGTATTATATGCTAATCTCTGGGATAAGTCGGTACCTAAGTCGGGAGCGTCATATATCGTTCACAGCGAATTAAATCACGATCGGATTCAGACGTTTAATATGTCAATTAATACTTTAAATATCATTTTTATTGCCACGTTGCTAAATGTAAGATATTGAAAAAAAGTAACCGATCATATGTTCAAGGGATAAAATTGTATGTCAGATAATGTATTCAAGAAACGTGTGTGATGCTGATGTTAATGTTACCAATATAAACGGAGATTTTACACGCTTTTTTACATCATCTTTGCTGAGATCTTAGTCGTTGGCAGAAGTCTTCAAGATTAAAGTAGACAACATCAGATTATTGTGAGTATTATACAGACATCACATCACTGCGGATACTAGACAGACAAAACACATATCACTATGAGTACTATATAGACATCATCACATCATTGTGAGTACCATATTGACATCACATCATTGTAAGTACTAGACAGACATCACATCAATGTGAGTACTAGAGACATCAAATCACTGTGAGAACTAGACAGACATCACATCATTGTAAGTACTAGATAGACATCACATCATTGTGAGTACCATATAGAAATCACATCATTGTAAGTACTAGACAGACATCACATCACTGTGAGTGCCATATAGACATCACATCATTGTGAGTACTAGACAGACATCACATCATTGTAAGTACTAGACAGACATCACATCATTGTAAGTACTAGATAGACATCACATCATTGTGAGTACCATATAGAAATCACATCATTGTAAGTACTAGACAGACATCACATCACTGTGAGTGCCATATAGACATCACATCATTGTGAGTACTAGACAGACATCACATCATTGTAAGTACTAGACAGACATCACATCATTGTAAGTACTAGATAGACATCACATCATTGTGAGTACCATATAGAAATCACATCATTGTAAGTACTAGACAGACATCACATCACTGTGAGTGCCATATAGACATCACATCATTGTGAGTACTAGACAGACATCACATCATTGTAAGTACTAGACAGACATCACATCATTGTAAGTACTAGACAGACATCACATCATTGTAAGTACTAGACAGACATCACATCATTGTAAGTACTAGATAGACATCACATCAGTGTGAGTACCATATATCCATCACATTAATGTAATTACCATATAGACATCACATCATTGTAAGTAGGCCTACTAGTCAGACATCACACACAGCACTGTGCGCACCACATACACATCATTATGTGAGTTTTAGTTTCAGACAGAACAATCTGTATGTGATTTACTACATTGTTATGTTACATGAGGTCTCAGTAAACTGTACATTTATTATCAATACACAGTTCAATAATTGAAGTACTTTGAACCTACAATTTATCTCTTGAACACAAAGGACAAAACATGAAGCTAGTGCTGAATCTACTGCTTGTTTTAACCCTGTCTTACGCCGCTACTGTGAGTTTTGTTTTCTTTAAAAACTAATTACAATGTCTTGAAAGTCGTATCTTCAATTGCTATAAATTTATAAATACGCAATCGGTTTGTGATTATACATATTATAAAAAATATACATTTTTAAAAAACGTGAATTTTAAGTCGGATAACAATATTATATTTCTTGTGAAAAATGTGTGCATTCAAAAGTTAAGCAAAATTGATGATGTTATTGTCAAAGAATTGAGTTTTACTATTAGTCAAAATAAAATCTACGATTTTAAGTGGAATATTTTTGTATTATACTAAGTTAAGTGTTAAGTGAATGATCAGATGAAGTTATTGCGCTTTAGTTTATCCAATCCGTATACTTTGATATCTTTTTAGTCAAATAATTGCAAACAATTTGCTTTAAAATATTCGCAATCGTCGAAATTAAAAACTTACACATTTGTTAAAACTGAATTATTTTGTATGAATTTGACACAAATTGAAGGCATCTAGAAATGCTTTAGTTTTAGATAATAATGTACAACACACATCAACTAATGGAGCTCTATATCTGTGATTTCTTTGAGTTTTCGAATCAATTAATAATTTTCATTAGATTATAAAGGTTGCTGACCCCATCAACTCATCAAAGAGAAATGACAACGCGGAGGTTCAAGAAGAGAAACGACTGGAAGATGTAAGACATTTCAGAGATTAAGTTGGAAAGTATTTAACAGTGAACTCGGTAACTGCACCTTTTATAACTTTTAGTTGCTTGGTCATCGAAACTTCTCGTTTTGATCGTTCCATTACACAGATTCACATTTGGACTGAATGAGATTTTAAACATTCTATTGTTTTTCCTGAATTATGCAGCATTGAACTGTTTGAACCATAATTTACACAACTATTTTGCTAATATTTCCGGCGCTCGGCAATGATAAAGTTAGCAAAAATATGATTAGGCTTTAACAAAAATGATATGATTTTGTCATTGTTTTGAATATTATACATAGTAATATAATTTGCCAAGCAAAGTCCCCTTTTCAAACCTGACAGTCCGTGAGGCAAGTGACGTATCGTTCAACTGTTTCTGTTTTGGCGTATGAAGGGGTAGAGTGGTCAGCACTCTGTTCAACCGTGTTTACTTTCCCTATCGGTACTCATCGGAAGCTTAATTAAACCCGGATTGGTACTCGAGAGATTCGGGTTAGCAGTATAGCGCTTCATCGCTAGGCCACGTCGTCCCATAAGTAATGGCAATAATGTTAACAAAATCTTTGAAAAATAATGTTACGGACTTTCTTGGTAAAGAGCATATGCTACTCCATAACCCAAATGTTTCAATTATTGATTTTTGCTTTGAATTAGTACGATATTTTTCTTATCCCACGTAATCCCTCAAGTCCTTTATTTCATTTAGAAAAATATAAAATTAGAGCTGTTTCATTTTAACGCCATATTCTCTCTAAGTTTTTATTTCACTAAAGTGAAACCCATTTCAAATTAACGACTACGATAGCTTGTAACCCAAAGAGGAGGGGGGGTGGGGTGTCGGGGAGTGTTGCATAACTTTAGGCTAAAATCATAATTGAATTATTGTATCACTAATGAGACAAGGTGAAAATACCAAGCAGTATTTTAGCTTCAGAGCAACATCTTTTCTGGTTGATGTCCAAGTCACATGGAGGCAGGTGGAGTAGAGTTCATCTGTGTTAATGGCATCGGCATACAGGGAGATAGTGTGTTCAGCACTACGCCCTGCCGGCTTAGTTTCCCTAGCGCGAGCCAGGTACCCATCACAGCTGGGTGGACTCAGGGATGTTCTACAGACTAGAGCCCTGGATCCAAACTCGTAACCTTTGGGTTAGCAGTCGTAAGCTCTACCGTTCAACCACGCAATCTACTATTACACCGTTGTATTAGGGGCATTTAAACAATATATTTTTAATGTACAAAACTATCGAATAAAAACAAAAAAAATTGTTTATGTTATTATTGACCCTTGCTAACCTACACACAACTTTATCTAGACCAGCGAGGAGCTCAACAACTTTATCAACGATCTGAGCGTGGAGACAGAACTCAACCCTGGTCCGGTGCTCATTAGAAAGGTCAGAGCTCTCCCAGCGGCCATAGACTGGCGTACCAGTGGATATGTATCATAGATGTTTATGTATAGATGATTACTTGAGGATTAAAATATTTTAATCTTGCATAGTCTCTTTAATTGCTATATATCTTGTTTTCAACGAAACACTGATGTCTTATTAAATAAAATTTAAATATATATAAACGTGGTGTCTACGACTAATTCCCGAAAGACACTAGCTCGAAGGTCGTTTGTTCTTCACAAAACTTGTACATTTCACAACATTTTAGTAGGACTATATCGCAGCTGATATAAAAAGTACCATCACATCACTTTAAATAATGTATACTTAAAGAAATGAAATAAAAACAGTGTGTAATCTATACATCTAATTCTTTATTTTATTTATTCAATAATTTAAACTTGGAAGACTTTCAACAATAATTCATATAGAAAGATGCGTAAAATATAATATACAAGTAACACACTTCAACCTTATATATTAAGTCCAACTTTATAACATCGAACATAGATTTTCACTTTCTTTTATTTTGACGTCAGCGATGACCGGAAAGATGCGCAACGGAAAAAATGCGTCCAATAAAGTGCGAAAGGACATTTTCGTTTTATTAAATCGAGCATATAAAGACATTAACAATTAATTCAGATTTAATTTCAGATTGCACTATTATCGGGTTGACCCACGTACCAAGTTTGAAATGAATCGGTCAATTAGAAGTGCTCGAAATTTCGCTCGGTAGTTTCTATTTATGACGACTGACAGATAGATAGATATATAGAGGAAGCAAGTTAAATAAAAGCTTGAAAAAATTAATTTCATTTCTCATAAATATAACCTAAATCTAAACTGAGCAGTGTAATTTTGCAGCTAAACACCTAATTAAATTAAAGTGTGTGTTTTTGAAAAACATTATTGACCAAACAAAATTTTAGCTAATCTACTGCTAAAGTCTCTTATCTATACTGTTTCATTGAAGGAATTACAATTTTAAAACAATAAAAATAACTTATCGAATCATTTCTTTACATTAATACAGTGGTTTGACAAAGCATTGTGTGTAAAGACATTTTATATTTATACCATTAGTTTCTTTTATGTACACATCCCTCTACACACCAACCAGGTGACAATAATTCATTCGATCTAAACTTTCAACAAAGGGGACACATATTGGGCAGAACATTTAAATATTTTCACAAATTTTGAAGTAAAAAGGCTTTTATTATTTTCAGAAATAAAAAAATATAAACAGCGTAAGTGAAAATGTACTTAAAATTTAAAAATAGATTTAGTTTAGCGTAACCTTACTAAAGCTATATTTTGTGTCATGCAGTTTTACTGCATGACACACATAAATGATCCCATTTGAAAACACAGGTATCAACACATTTTTACACATGCATAAACATTTATAAATAATTTTTTTGTAAATACATTTATTAGCACATGTATAAAATATTGGGTCTACGACAAATTCCCGAACGGACACTTGCCCGAATGCGACAAATGCCCGAAGTATTTATATACGCTTTCATAAACGCATTTCTAAAGACATATTAACACATTTGAAACACATCGAGAAAAAATGGCGTTGAAGAATATTACATCAACATCAACATCAACATCAACATCAACATCAACATCAACATCAACATCAACATCAACATCAACATCAACATCAACATCAACATCAACATCAACATCAACATCAACATCAACATCAACATCAACATCAACATCAACATCAACATCAACATCAACATCAACATCAACATCAACATCAACATCAATGAGCTGCTTTTGATGAATTCCACCAAAGAAAATGGCAAACATATTACATATCCATCAATTGTAGACTAAGATGCTATTGGTCATAATGTATCTCACTTTAACAAATCTAAGCTACCATTCTTGTGACATCTTTTCCTGAACACAAATGAAAACCAAAGACCAGGGACAATTGACACTTGCATGTCGAGGGCTCTACAAGCTATTTTATTTCTGATTGCTGGTCTGGGATGGCTGTTACACTAACTGATCCCACTGTTTAGACAACTGCCAGGTGTTTAGACTAATGAGGCAGGTGTTTCTAGTTACCTAGGCAGGTCATATTAACTCAACCGTGTGGTATGTGTTAAACCTCCTGAGGCATGTGTTTAACAGCGATGTGTTGCACAAATTATTACATTCAACAAACAGAATAACAGATTCGCCTTATATTAGTTGAAAGAATGGGGTCGGCATGGTCTAGTCGGTAGAGGTCCGTGTTGATTTATTCCACTTTTTCTTCTTCTTCATTTTTGATTCTAGCGCTGGAAGGGATTCCATGCAACTCAATTAAGTATACGTGTCAAATTTTTATGCGCCATATAGGCCGATGATTCCGATTTCAGCCTGCTTTTTTTTGGATTTGTTTCCATAGTCTTTGTCAAACTAAGAGCAAACTACAAGACAGTAGTCGTTTGATTTTGGAGTTTGCACTCCAAAATGGTTCCGAACTCGGTACTAGTCGGTTTAGCAACCACGAGCTATACCGACTCGACCACACCGAAATGAAATTGTTGAAATTATTTTATCTAATTAATATTCGACTCTTGAGCTAATCATTAATTACTTTAAAAAAAAACTCACATTCAGGAAGGGTTCAGTTTAAAATAAAAATGGACACAAATGGATTAATGGATTAACAGTGTCGTACATGTATAGGTTGATTCGTTTCTCTATGAACGAAATATGATCCATCCATTATAAATATAAAATGATATCAGAGATTATCAAGTGGTATCGACATACATGATTGGATGAAGTTTACTTCAATATTCAAAGAAATATGTGCGTTATCGATGTGTTAAGATTGGTAATAGTGAAAAAAAATATCGCAAAGTACAAAGATTCCATCAAAATGCAACTGTTACATGGGCATTTAGTGCTTGAACTATTTTACTGGCAAAATCAGGAGTCCGTCATTCTATAGAGCTTCAAATCACAAGTCATTCTATAGAGTGCGAGGTCATTCTATGGAATTCCATGAATGATGCTGAAACAAATCGTTTATTGCGTAGGAACGTGACAGAAATCCTAAACGGAGGACGCGGCAAAGTGTAGAATCAGTGTATTCCCTCCAAAAAAGTTAGGACGTGATGACAGGACAAATGATGTCAGACAATTCAAGACAAAGTAATCCAGACATCAAAATCGGTATACGGGTATCACGTGATTATCTCTGACATAACACGATACCCATGTCAGATGTGTTTAAATATTTTTTTCCCCAATCACTTCAATCAATGGGGAAAATTTACCACAGTTGTACTTTACCCAATTTCCGATTTCTCAAAAATACGCATATGAATTTATTTTTTAATTTGATTCCTGTTTTTCTTTATAATGTAAAGTTTATGAAGTACTACTGTTCACTATTAAACACAGATTATATGCTGTTCATTTGTTGCACAAATCTTTTTGCTACGAGATTCTATTCTAGTTAACAGAATTAAGCATTTGAAATTTGATTTTTTAAAAATGTCAGAATTCCGACTGCACTGGAGTTGCAATCCTCCTTAATGTTAATTGTGTTATTTAAGAATATTCGAAAAAGTCTAGGAGAGATCACTCCCACTTAATTTTGTTTTTCAATAATATTTTGAGACTTGAAACATCGATTACTGACCGAATTTTGTTTACGATTTTTAGACTTTAAACATCGAAAACTGATCAATTTGTTTTGAAAACTGAATCAAATTATGTTAATTGAAAACGGCGATTACTTACCTAATTTCTTTTACAACTATTAGATTCTAAACATCAAAAACCGATCGAATTTTTTTGTACAATAAAATTATTTGACTTGAAAAGTCGATTACTGCCCGATTTTTTTTTTTACAATTATTGGACTTTAAACATAAAAAACGACCGAATTTTCATTATGTCATAGTGAGCATTACGTCAGAGCCTGCAAGCTGGTTCCACGTGATAATCTCTGATACAAACTGATATATATGATAGTTTTTTTTTGTCGTTTTTTTAGCTAAAGGGAAATCAATCATGTTAGGAATGTTATAATGTTACTAAAGTGTTACACATACAATATGAACTTCTGTGAACATTGTTAAAAAATTTTTTAGTTGGCATCTGATTGGCAAGTCAACTTAATCGTGGGTACTATTTCTACATTACTACACTGTCAGTAACTTGCTAACGTTAAGAAACTTGACTTAAATTTGAATAATATTACTAAAGCTTAATGCAATGTTTAGTAAAACATTTGCATTTTCACCACGTTATCAAATTATTCTAATGTTTACAAAACCAAAATAAAAATATGTGTTGAATTGAACAAAGTTGTTGGTGTAAAATGAGACTTAATTCAGGTAGATCATTTCACGATAGTTTAAAATGATACATTTTATTTTAATAAATACTAGTCTGTTTCTTTTACAAAAACTACGTTTGGAAAACTCTCTCGCTGGTTAAAAATAACTAGCACTTTAATTGACTAACTACGCATAAATAATACATTTCATTGCTTTTATGGTTATGGGATTATTGCATTTAGAAATATTTTTAGAGTATCTTTGAAGCATCCCAGATAATTTAAACCGAATTTAGGTAGAGTTTTTGTTGCACATGACTGGTTAGAGCAAAATACTTACCGGAGAAAAAGTAGGTTAGCGCGAACATTAGAATGCAATTCTAGTTACATTTTCTCGTTATTAATACGTTGTCTAAGTATAACGAAGTATAAAACTAATTGTGCTTTCAAACTTAAGTGTCAGAACTTTTTTTTATGATACATATTACACTTAAGAAAATACGGTATGATGTATAAAATAAAATCTTAGATCCCATATGTTTTTATTTAAGATACATATTAAACTTAATGTTGATACGGTATTATGTAAAAAAAATAAAAACTTAGATACCATACAAGTTTTCAAAATAATTTTTCCTTTGAAAGTATGTAAGGACACCAAATAAACCAAGGTTTGGCGTTGCTTTTAAAACAAAAATTATCGTCACATTATCATAAAATGCTAGTTGTTACATTTTGACTCTATTAACAACAAAAAGTGTCCTGATAAATTAAAAAAAAAACACTCTATGCATTTGTTATATAACATTGTAGGAACCAATGAAGCGAACGATTTGTCTTATGGCAGTGCTTGCCCTTGCTTTTACTGCAGCTGTAAGTTTGAATTTTTAAAAATATTAACATATTTTTAAAAGCCCCCAAAACAACACCAGCAGTTTATAAGTGTATTGCTAATATTGGTCCCCAAACTACACCCAAATCAAGAGATTCTTACATTGTTTTCTACGTCTAACATATTCTAAGCTAACTTATTATTTACATTTAATTTTTAAGGTTCCAAACGTTCCCGACTCATTGCCGTCTTTAACAAAGTTACGGACGGACGACGTCAGGCAAGAGAAGGATACATTAAGGAAAAGGTTTGTCCTGGTAAGACATACCCTTGCTAGACATCAACCTTTGTACCGTGTTACTTGGTCAGTTTATTTTTTTCCATTGCTAGACTAGATATTCAATGGCTAATTCATTCTCGTATATAGTTTTTTTTTTTCAAAGTTCATGCCTTGAATTCGTTATGGTTCAAGACTTACAAAAACATTATATATTGTATAATATATATATATATATATATATATATATATATATATATATATATATATATATATATACATACATATATATATATATATATATATAAATTGTTGAAAGTATTGCTAAACTATGAAACCACAACAGATATAACAATATATCACTCTGCTGATTTATAATACAAAATTAGGGTCTTGTCTTTTTATATGTGCAACAATCTTAAAAAAAACGATAATATTATTTCCAAGCTTTTAGATTCAAGTGATTCTATCGGTATGGATCCATGGAAACGCTTGGCGAAAGAGAAAGCATGAATAGAAAAGCGAATGGAACAAATGACGAATAGGGGTAAGCCTTGAAAGTGTTTGAATTATAAACGTATACAGTGTTTAGTTCATTTCAAATACATGTATCAATGACGCGTGGAGTAGGCAGTGGGCGAGTACACTACAACCTTAACTAATGCCAGACAGTACCTTTAGTCTGATTGACTTGTGATGTCGTAGCTGTGTGGAGAGAAATATAATTATCCTGTCAGTTGCGAGTTCGAATACCATGGTGTGGTGTTAAATATTCGTTCATTTTATTCACCCCTTTCCCCTTCAACCAGCCCCCCCCCCACAACTTTAATATAGGCCCATTTGTTCACTGTGGTATGCTTATCCTTTTGGTCCTTTTCCCCAACTGCCATATTATGTTGATCCTCTATCATTAGATATTAAACATACATATTTGACCGAATTCTAATCGTCACATCCTGCATGTTATTACCACGTGACTTTCTTAGATAACGTGATCCGCTCCATGACAATGTAGTGTTTTGTATTGTGAATAGATAACTCACAACACAACCAAGGTTTTTTACGATACTGTCAATCAACCTTTTAACTTGTAGATCCACCGTCATCTCGCTGAACAGGAAAAATGAGATAAATAATTGCTCATTTACACAAGAGGCATAAAATTATTATATATAACATTTTAACGACGTGGTGATGTAATTAAGTTAATATATTCAACAAACAGCACTCATGCTGATGTAAATGTTTGAGATATAAACTGAAATGTTGCGGACACTGTCCGCATTTGTTCACATTTCAGTATTCGTAGAAACCCTTCTCAAGTGTGTATAAGACTAAATTTAAGTCTTTAACTTTTCTGCTTTCGAACTTTAAAAAAAAAAACGAAATTTTAAAAAATGTTGGCTTTTTTTTTTACCACGACACGGAAATAACATTAAACAGAGATAAGGATTCAAATATAATAAAAAAAATTAAAATAAGATTAAAAATCGGTATATTGCTTTTAAGTAATTAGAATAATACACAAAACCAATGAGGATTTATTTTATCTTTTTTTTTTAGAGATGCTTTGGATGTAAAAGAGAAATATCCTAACAAAAGTCTAAAGAAACTCTATTTTTATGTGCTTATTTGTTATTGATTAATTTAAACAATAAATTTGAGGGAATTATGAAAAATGTTGTGTGTTTTAAGGTTGTTCTATCAGTGTTTTATTCTAATGTAAGTTGATTTCTTTTAAAAATTTCCAATGTATTTGTTGTTTTAATATTGCTTCATATATATATATATATATATAATATATATATATATATATATATATATATATTATATAATAATATATATATATTATAATATATATATAATATATATATAAATACATATATATACATATATATATATATATATATATATATATATATATATATATATATATATATATAGATATATATATATATATATATATATTATACTACATATAATATATATATATATATATATATATATATATATATTATATATATATATATTATATATATATATCTATATATATATATATATAACTACAATCTGTCGTATAAACTATTATTTGTATTGATTATTAAAACAATTGTAATCATTCTCTCTAAATTACCATGTCTGATAAAAGATTTAAATTTTGATAGGTTTTAGAAAGACAATATGTAACACAAAAGGAAATTTTTTGAAAGTTTTATTTATTCTCGCTATTTCTTTCACTAACATTTCCCAGGTTTAAAATTTGAGATAAATTAGTTTTAAATAACTTCAGGTTTCCCACAACCTTGGCTCACCAAAGAAAAAGAGAAACGACAAAACAGCAGCAAAAAAAGAGAAATGTGTTAAGGAAGTACGACATTGAAGTAACAGCTAACATATGTCTTGGTTGTAAATACCCATATAACATACGATAGCTTGTGTATAAACTAGGAGCATTCTCGTTGTATGACTTTCATATGATAAATGCTGCAAATTTTATGTAAACATGTTTAATATATTTTTTTGTTGTAAATTACAAAACGCAATGTGTAACTTACTAATTTTATAATTGCGTATTTCAGATGAGGAGTCGATCTCAAGTCGTACAAAATGAAGTCAGGCTGGCTAAGGATGACGTAACATTTAGCAGTGTCTTAGCGTCTGTAACAATAAATATTTTCTTTTTTTTTATTATTTAAAAATAAAACGTAAAAAAAGCTAAAATAAATATTACTTAGGTAAAAGGTAAAGCAATAGAATGATACTCCAAGCCATTACAGCACTATTATTTCCTAGTCAGTTACGTATCTTAAATAATTGGGAAAATAAAAAGAAATGAAACAGCTTCATTTAGCGTTTCCAAAACAGAAATTTTATTATCATTTTATTGAATTTTAAAAATATATTTAAAACAATTTGTTTCCTTTTTTAAGGTTTTTTATTCACTTGGCTCCTTAAGGAAAATGAGAAAAGAGAACAAAGATAAAACATGTAGAAAGAAGGCAGATCAGAGTAAGACAATGTACTGTTTGATTATTTAATTATTTACATATTATACATTGCACTGCTCGCACATTTTATAACATTTACCCTTTGAACAAAAATTACAATCTTAATTTATGAATACACTTAACTCGACTTAACGGTGTATTACTTTTTATTGCTCACACACTTTGTTTCCAACTCAAAAATTACTCAACAATGCGTAGTTGTTCACTTAAGCAACACATTTCCTTTGTAAAGCCTTAATTAATTTTTTTTACGTTTATTACAGATTATCAAGAAAAAAGCATTATACTTCTCAGAAACATTTAGCAATATTTCCGTATCAGGAATACATTAAATTAATTACATCATCTAAAATTTGTTTCATTTTGTACTCTATTTGTTTTTAATTTTATAATACCGCACTTTCAACTTGCAATTTCAAATGCTCAAATAAAATAATCCTGCATACTAAATACGAAATTTCAATAATCTCAGACCTCAAAGTTTTAATCACAAATAAGCAAAACTTGAATGGCACCCTGCACATAACTGAAAGAAGAATTATTAGATCAATACAATGATCTCAAATCACAAAGTTGTGATCACAAGAATTTCAACCAAATTGTGCAGGTTTATACAATAATAAATTTTAATTTTAGTCTGCCAGAACAATTTTTCTGTCAAGTCTAGAAGTGTAGTTGGTTGCATATCAGAGACATAACATTTTGATTTTGACCTTTAATGTATGTCACTTTACACATGTCACCTATTTGAGCTAAAACGTTATCGACTGTGATATGTTTGTGCACTGAAATTATTGTCAGCTGTGTTTATTTATTGTTGGAGTTGAAACTTTGATAGATAACTGACCGAGTTCTCATTATGTAACAGTGGCTTGTACGACCTTTAAAATATTTGATATAACCTGTTACCGTCGGCTGGTTATTGTTGATTTATTCAACTTTTGGTTTCAATATAAAATGATAAGCAGTGAAAAGTTTTCAAATTTTCTTTTTTACCTTTATATATTATTGCCAATTTTTATCAGCCGTAAATATTAGATAAACATCAAAACAAAATGTAAAGGAGTTCTTCTTCGTGAATAATTAGCTTTTAAGATGCTAACTAATTATGCATGCAATTTTTAACCAAAAACGAGTTGTTTGCTTTTACTATTAGTAGAAACATTAGAGTCAGGCCAATCATGTAACTATAAGCATTACATTTTAATTGTTTTAATAATGTTACATATTATTTAATTTTAATCCAAAATGTAAAAGCAGATTTAACAAATGTATGAAAAGTAAACGCTACAAAAACATAATATTGAGGTAAATATACTAGTAATTAAAAGGCCTCGATGTAGGTGTTTTTTTTTACTTCATTAAAAGGCTTTAAAAAGCATTTAGTCTCAACAAATCGCATCTGAATGATCAATTTCCGTAAAGTTATCACGTCCTTCATCATGAGTCTGGTCCATTGAAGTTAAATTCACAACGTCAATACCTCCACTGGCGTTTCCACTGCCACTGTTTCCACCAGCGGCGTTTGAGAAAATTTGCTTTGTTGACTTTGAAAAGGCCTTAGAAGTGTGGATATTCAAACAACATGAAATTTCTTGAGACAATGGTCCTTTTCAGATAGGTTTATCACAGAGACCAGTGCATGGTCTGGCCGGGACGGCTTGTACTTTATATAGCATTCACCTAAAAGATTTTAACATATTAGGTAAATATTAATTTAATCATAATCAAATGTTGCACTCCTTACAAAACAGTACAATACAGAGTGTAACATTTTGATGCGTATTATCCAAGCTACTTAGAAACAAGTGTCCCAACCTAAGGCCTGAAACATGAGTATAAATGCATTAAATGTGTGGACAATATAGCTAACTATTCATTGTGTTAAAGGATTTGAAAAAAAATGTTATCATTTAAAATTATCTTTACACTAGTAGATACAAGAAGCATTACATTTTTTCTCAAAATAGTATTACATTAAAAATTCTAACATTTAGGTAGATATGTCCCTTATAAATAGCCTGAAAATCTCAAATGATTTTATTTTGGACCACTGACTAAATTTTAATGTAAATCTCAATGTAACGCAACCAGATAAAAATTTACCTTGAAACATAACAGAATTATAAGAATATCCATCTACTTGTTACAATAGAACAAGTGACATTAAAGTATGTCTTTACTGAAGCCAGAGACACGATATTAATTCCGAAAGTCGGTGAAATGAAATAAAGTCTATTTGTTTGAAGTTGTCAAGCGGCATAGAGTGTTCATTCTCGGCAGACTAGTTTTCCTGACAGAGCACGGAAGCGTTTAATAAATTCATTAATTTTTCTACTTGACCAGATTCGTTTTTAATTGACTCAAGCATATCGTTTAGCGTATCTCTAAAGTAATTGAATACAGCTACTAATCAGCCAAGCTGTAAAATAATTATGTGTTTTCTATGGATGAAGCTTACTATGATCCAACTGAATTTTTTTGTGTGAGTTTATAACGTATCTCCTCCGTAGCAGAAAAAAAAATTAACACGATCGTTCAAAACGACCAGGACTCCCGTATATAACCTGAATACGGTATCAAAAATAATTAACATTCAGGGATGGTGTCTGAACTACAACCTTTTGCTATGTGACAAGGTGAGTATGATTAGTTTCAGTTCAGAATAGTGTGGTTACAACATTTTGAGAAAACCCATTCGGTAAGTTAATTAGTTTGCAATGCAGTAACCCATAACCGCACCCCAGGATACTATTATTTGTGCAATTAGGTGTGTCCGTATTTGCTAATGTTTTATGTATTCTGTCTCAATTTTTACAGTTAAGTTTCATTTTTCTTTTATCTTGCCAACGTATCAATGCCAATAAAGAACTTCCAAAGCCCCCTTCCCCTCGAGTGCTAGAAAAACTGGTCTTGCTGGAGCTCAGAAAAACGATCAATCTCTAACACCACGCCTTATATATCCCTATCAATTACATCCATATATACCTCTATCTATAACATCCATATATACCTCTGTCTATAACATCTATATATACCACTGTCTATAGCATCACGTCATAAATAGTACCTATTTCTGGTTGTAACATAACTCCTCCCCACTCAAAGGCGTAGCTAGGGGAGAGCGGGTTGGGCGTCCGCCCTAGTCGCCGACGCCCAAGGGAGTGCCTAAATGTGTAGAACCAAATGAAAAAGGTCATTTTAGACTGAAGTATTGAATTATAGACACAGTTGAGAAAATAAACGGATAAAAGGCTTTAAAAACTGATTTAACTCTTTTCTACATCAACAGTGTGGCACAAAAAAGACACCTGTTACGGAATAGTGATAGGTAAAAAGCGCCACAAACCTTTTAAATCGAGAAGCATGATTAACTATAATCTATATCAATATGAGAGGGGGGGGGGCGTTAAACTAATAATTAGCCCCGGGTGTCGGAATGGGTCGCTACGCCTCTGTCCCCACCCATTTTTCACTTTTCACAATCAAACTCTACCAGTCAAACTTATCCAAAGCAAGATCTGATGACTTACATGGTTGATTTTCCTCTACCAGATTTTGCAATGGTTCAAACATCTATTAGGCAATAAACGCAGAAAATTTGAGAACGATGCATAACAATCTTTATACTACTAAAACTCAAGTTTGTTTACATGTTTGAATATTTATTTGTTTGTTTTATTGTTTGTCTGATTGGCTACTGGAGAGAATCTGCTCTACGTGCAGAGCTGTAAAATAGTATGTAGGTCGAGAACAATTTTTGTTTTCAGACAGACTGTTAATCACAAATTTATTTAAAGAAGTTAATTAATTGATTGATTTATTCATTGGTAGATTAACCACATTAATTTTAAAAGTTTAGAAAAACGACTTTACTTTGAGTGAATAGTGACGTCACATGATTTGTTTATTTTTTGCATCAACAATGGCGGCCTGCATCGAAGATTGTGTTCCAATTCCAATGTTTAAAGCGTTCTAAAGCTAATTTTCTGTCGGCTATAGCTTTAATGATAAGTCCGTTTGCTCTATTTATTACGTTTCAGCACTATTATCAATGTTTCAGCAGTTCTTTTTATTTTATTATACAATACATTTCTCTAGATCTACAGATCAGCTGTCGAAGGGAAAAAAAAGTTATGAATCTAGATCTAGGTCACTAGACTTGACGTAAATTCTAGCTCTAGACTTAATGTGAATTCCACATCTAGAAACAAGAATCTATTTCAGGCCTTAATTATTTCATATAAATCTTTGTTTGTTTAGCTATGGAATTGGCTAATTTGGGATATAGATCTAGGTTCCTAATTAAATAAAAAAATATTAGGACCTACTCGCGTAACTGGTTTCTTACTTTGCAGTACACTATAGGACTAATTTTACATTGGTTAGACAGTGCCGCTATAGCTAAGATGATAGTGGAATGGCTATTGTGCGGGTGATACGGGTTCAAGACACATCACGACAAAGTAGTTTTTTTTTCAATTTTTGTTTTTTTTAACGTGAATGATGAAGTTGACTATCAAGACCTCGCGGCACACAGGGCAGGTCAAGTAGAGTTTACCTGTTTCTTTGTCCTCAGCATATGAAGGGATAGTGTGGTCAGAGACATGCTCGGACGGAATCGTTTTTTTAAACGATAAAAACATGTTGTCTGAGACTTGGCGGGACACTGAACAGGTGAAGTAGAGTTGAGTAGGTCACCTGTGACGTCAGTATATGAAGGGATAGTGTGGTCAGACCCCTGCTTTTAAAAGATAATAAAATACTTAAAAAAACTTTTTAAAAAACCACGTTTTTCTTGTGGACTAAAAACTAGAAAATAATTTTTTCTTCCGACCCTAGGGGATCTACCAATGACTGCTCGTAGATTTTGTGCTTCCTCGAGCTGTGCAGGTTCTTGTGATGACTGTTCATACATTTGATGACAAAGTGTTTTTAAATACATAAAAATTTAGAGGATTTTTTATCAAAATAAAAAGGATCAAAAGGTTTTTGAATGCTTTTAGGTAGTTGGCCCACCGTCCATCCCTCCTCGAACAGATTAACTGTCGATTCTCCACCCACCTTAAGCATTAGACTGTAAAACATTTTTAAAAAAACGTGGTAATAAAAAAAAAGAATTGCACACCAACTGAAAAGTTTCTCTTTCAAACCTGACGGTCTATGGGGCAAGTGAAGTAGAGTTCACTTGTTTCTTTGACCTCGGCATATGAAGAGATAGTGTGGTCAGCACTATGCCCAGCCGCCTTTACTTTCCCTAACAGGAGTTAGGTACCCATCAAAGTTGGGTGGACTCAGGGACGGTCTACTGACTTGAACTCGGATTCGAACTCGAGAATAACGGATTAGCAGTCCAGCTCTCTACCGCTAGACCACTCCGTCCCACACCAAGTGAACGCCTAATAAAATGTGTATAAAAGTGCGGGATATTATTATTACTAGTACGTTTTTGAGAAATCATGTCCTCAATTTTAGGGTCCTAGGGGCGTAATTTAAAGCTAATTTAGGTCTCTAATCACTAGTTGTTATGATTGCATCTGAAATTGTTAGGCGAAAATAGCCTGCATGCCGAATTTCAGATCTCTAGAGCAATCAGAAGTGGGCTAATTTTCGTTGTCAATTTTAACAACAAACAAACGCGAAGCTGAGTTAATAAAAACGTGTTAAAAAAACGTCTTTTTGAATGTGTGGGTCTGGTTTTTTGTGACGATAAGTGACAGACGTGATGTTTTTTTATGGATGACCCCCGAAACCCACAGTTATCCAAGGGATGACGGGTAAGTCTAGAGAGATATTAAAACCTAGTTTGTTTTTAAATTCTACAAATAAGATCATAAGAAAAGTTTCTTATTTGTTTTGTTGACATCGTCGTGTTTTGAAAGTGCAGGGCATTTTAAGATTTGACGAACTTTGAATTGTTTTTACGTTTGTAAGAATATAGATATGAGGACAGTGTACCGTTCTACATGTGGTCATTGTAGTGTTCCAGCATTGGTCAGTGAACAGCTCCAAATGTGGTCAGCATAATGTTCAAGCTACCAGGATGTCTAATTAGATGATTCATAGTTTATTTTTTAAACACACCAAATAGCTTACCCGTCTGGAAATGTGTGTGTGTGTGTGAGAAAGAGAGAGAGAGAGAGGGAGAGAGAGAGAGAGAGAAAGAGAAAGAGTTTGGGGAGGGGAAGGTGAATTTACGGTGAATGGAAACGTAAATTGGATGGTAGCTTTGATTTCAGGAGATTTGCTTTTTTTCTTCGCTTTTACTTTCATTAGACATATTAAGTTGGCGACTGATATGATTCGCTTTCAGATCCAAAGTTTTTGAGTAGAATCAGACCATTCAGTATATCATACTATAGGTGATTTAGCACGTTTTATTTCTAATTTGATTTGATCATTCACTGTCCATCAAATTGTCCACTTCGACAGTTGAAGCGTGCGACTGTACGAGGCTTTTGTTTCTATATTCATTTTTATTTGTTTACATTACAAGCAATAACAAATTATCGACAATTTAGTGGTAAAAAAGATTTAAATTTTATTTGAAAAAAATAAAGGAACCACAATAGAACGTTCAGTTATATGTATTTAATTTATAAGATGCTATGGTGCACAACAAACTTTTTTTAATTTAAGAAAAACATCAAAAGAAAACAATTTTAAGTAAAAAAAAAATTACAGTTTGTTAAGTGGCTCATCATTTTGTGTTTGATTGTTATTCTATTCGTCAAGGGGTCATCCATTTATGTTGTCCAAAAAAATTAAGGATTTTATACCCCCCTCCCCCCGTCCACCCGCGACCACTTTCGACGAACAAACACTCCCCCCTTTGTTGGCGTCTACTAAAATTCAATAGGCCTCTCAGAACATGCTGCAAAATTACTAATTCATTTACATGAAAAGCGAACATTAACTGATCATGTAAAAAAGGGATTTGATATTTTCGGTAACATCTATTACAAGGCCTTAATAATAATTGGGAGTTAAACTTTTCCAAGATGTCCGTAAGTCTTCTGCGTGTAAACTTACCGTGTGAATGTGCTAAGACAATCTAAATTATTGTTCCTTATTGAAAGATTGAACGCGCTGGGACGCTGTGTACGCTGAAATGTTTGAAATACTATGAATTGTTTTAGAAAATTGCCACGGTCACCGCTTAACCATGCCTGTAAAAAAATCGCTTTACTTCCTAGTCGGGCGCTATACAGCTACATGTATGATACATTGACCACGAGAACTGCCGTTGTAATGTACAATCTTAATTTTTAATGCATTTAAAGACTTAGAATAGAGATCAAATTGTTAAATACTGGAGAAAATGCAACTTAATATTGTAAGGTAAGTCTACTGCTCAAACTTTGAAGCATGTACATTTTTTTTACAGAATTTCGAATTTAAAAAAAAAAGAATTCAAGTGTCAAACTAACAAAATTATTAAATGCAAATGATGTGCGCAAAAGTAATATCATTTATTACGAATAACAAATGAAAATAAGGCCATTAAATAATATACAATTATCTAGTAGAGAAAAATAATCTTATTAAAGACATCAATTTTAAACATCAATTTTAAAAAGATCATATTATTATTAAAATATTTGATTTATCATTTCAAAAAATTACTTTCTTTAAGCTGTGAAACATTCACGCTACGGTAAACCTTTAAAAAAGAGTAACATCGAACATTTTAAGAAATAATAACCAAATAGAAGAATTTTTTTTTTTTTTCAATCCGTTTTAATTGATGTTTTTGCAAAAATTTGCATGCTTAATACTCTGTAATATTGTACTGCACTATTTGTATTCTGGCACATCGTTTCTACAATTTAAACACACATTTTTAAAACTACTTATTACTTTCTTACGTTGGGTTTTATTACATATATTTATTTATTTTCATACGCTTTTATTTTGTTAACAATGGTGGTTTGATTGTTCATGGGTTTGTGGCAAATTTTGTGACTCTATTGTTACCGTTTTTTTAAATACAGCCATTACGTTCCCAGATACATCCGTTTTTGAAGACAATGCAGGAATATTTAATTTTTATTCCAATTAGATATTAAATTAGTTATTAAAATGTAACTAAAAGATTACTAAATTAAAAAAACAATTGAACAAACATAAAAATAGACTTTTTCTTTCTACAATAAAAACAGTAGTCGCTAAAAAGTTAAGAGATTCCAATAGCGATCAATGTTTAGGGGTCGTCCATAAATGACGTCACACTCGTAGGGGGGTGGGGGTCCGTATTTTTGTGACGGTGTGTGTGTTGAGGGGGAGGGGGTTATTCGATAGTGTGACATCACACTTTTGCAGTATAAAAAGCAATGCTAGAAAACGAATTTTAGCCGCTATTTCGCGTTTTAGAAAGCTGTTTTAATAAACTGTAATTGTAGTTAATTAAAATACTATACGTTGACAGAGTTCAGACAACATTTTGGAAAAGTATCGCATTTTGAGAAAAATTCAACTGCAAATTAAAAGGGGGGGGTTGTAGGCTGAGGTTTAGAGGAGGGGATCTGGCTTTTTGTGACGATGTGTGACTGAGGGAAGGGTGGGAGTTAAAAATCGTCAAAAAAGCGTGACGTAATTTATGGATGACCCCTTATTATAGAAAGTTGGTTTGGTGTCTCATATTCAGTGAATTTAAAAGCGTATTGTTATATAACTTTTGTATTTTTTTCTGCATTTTAGTTAATATAAATATGAACAACTAAAATATTCATTACTTAAAGTTATTATACAAATAGTAGGCTTATTTAATGTTGTATTTGTGCATTACGTTTGTTGTTAATGACTAAAAATATTGACAATCAATTGACCAGTAGTTTGCAAACTTTAAAAGATAATTATCTCCCACAACTTTAGCTCGTGTTCGGCTCTCGAGCATAAAACCAACTAGCCATGACCAAATTAAAATAAAGTATCAGGGTGATAAGTGGGTCATCTGATGATGGGGTGTGGGGCGTTTTAAAACATTTTATTTTGACCAAAGCAATAAAAAACAAAATGAAAAGATTTGCGGGTTCCACTTGTCATGTGCGATTTAAAGGTATTAATTTAATTTTAGGATTTGTTGACTGTTAACCCAGGGAGTTAACCCTCACCTCAATCCATGGTTTAGCACAGTCTTTAACTTTGACAGTTATTACAATAGATGTCCAATCGAAGCTGTTCAGTTGCGCGGCCGAGCAGTATTTTTTTTACTGCCGCGCAGTCATTTTGTACTATGCATATAACTTTGTATAAGAACACCGCGCGCACAAAATACATGTTGATAATTAACTTTTTCCCACCATGATTACAATTCTGTTTGTGCTCGTTACTAAAGTTTGCTTCCCGATATAGGCCTACACAAACCAATGCTAAAAAATTACAAATTTCATTTATCTAAAATTTATATACATAATTCAGAGACACTTGTTTTAATACAGGATTTTTGCCACAAAAAAAAACATAATATCTAACAAAGATTAAACAACTATAAAATATTTATTGAATAAATCATCAAATGCAAAAAAAAAAAGAAACACCTAGGACAAAGAATACCATAAAGTACTACCATCGCGGTCAAACCACCTTTCAATCTTGATTCGTCTGCTGTGAAACTGTTTAAATGTGTGTTTGCATTTAACAAATAATTGAAGTGATCGTCTAGTTTTAGTATACGTGATTGTAGAATATATGAGATAAACAAAATGGTGCATGTATTTGTAGCATATGTGTGTTATACTTTCGACACGTTGGATTGTGTTTAGCTATGTTTTTGATGTTTAACTGTAAATTAATTTAATGCTCTAATTTTCATTTCGCAGCTGTCCACACTAGCTGTATACCCAGTGACGTCATACCAGTTCAGACCCACACCGTGTTCAGTACTCCCCCACCTGCCGTTTAGGCTTGTCCTATGGCAGTTATCGAACCACCATGCACCATGGTAAGTAGTAGCACAGCTATACGAGACTAAATCGTTATCTACATCATAAGTACTGAACTTCAGGTTGTTGTTGTAGGAATGTGAGTCCCCGGCCGTGCCTGAATAGCCACCAACAGACATTTTATAACCCTGACTTTCTGAACCAAAGCTAAATGTAGAGTAATGGGCGTAATAGTTGTTTCCCTGATAAGACATATCAAATCGAATCTCATAGGAATATTTTAAACCAATATAGTAAATGTATTCATTGCCCAGATAGAAATCACCAATGCCGTAATCTCCAAAGCCGTTCTTGTACTCCGTCCAGTTTCTGTAGAAGTCGACGATCCCAGTGACACGACGTTGAAAAATTGTCCAGCCCCCTCCATCTGTCACTGTGTCACACATGACGACAAGACCAGACGACAATTGGACCAGTTGTCTTGGTTTTGTGGAGTTCTTCACATCTTTACAGGTTCTGTAGACGTTTGGTCTCTTGGCTACAAGAACCGACTGGTTTCCTACATTTACAGAGCCTGTGAATTATAGACACGTGATTAAAATGTCTGAGATATAAGTAATGGTTGTCACATATTTTCCCAGGATACTTCACCTAAAATGAACAAATGGTGTAGTTCATTGACCAATCTGCCTAAGAAACAATTTAACAAGCAAATACCCAAAATACACAAACTAATAAGCTGGGGTGAGCTACCTTAAACGATTTAGTATTCTGATGTAACACTAAATAATGGCATCGGGCTATTGAAATGTTTTGAAAGTGCGTCTTAAAAAAGACTCAGATTATGCTGATTTATGGGAATATGATGTAAAACTAGTTATCAAACTGAAGACTTTGAGAAATTTAAAATAAAATGCTACTTAAAAGTTCTTTTGAAAACTAAGAATAAAATACCTGTATAGATACTAATAAACTCAACACAATTTTATATATTTATATATTTATATATTTAAATATTTATCAGAGTGATCCGAAACTCCGCACTGTGTGGTGTTTTAAATAGCCCACTCATGTCGAAAAAAAAATTCTCTTTAGACTAAATGTATAATAAAGTTTTATTTCTATAGCTTAAATGATATAGCTTATCTATTTGTTATTTCTGTTAGGTTCTAACCATTCTTTAAAATTTCTTGACAGGTCCTCTAATTCGAGAATAGTTAGTGATATACATGCACAAGAATTTTGAACTAAAAAGAAAAGTAGCCAAATACACAATTAATTAGTTAATAAAATCAAACATAAAACACTTAAACTGAACTAATTCAGGTCTTAAACCTTTCATATAAATCTTTGTTTCCAGGCGTTAAAATAAGTTAAATTATAATATAAAATTTAATTGAAAATAATATTTTGCGTAATTTTATTTTAGCGATAAGAGTGTCCGTCTTTCAAAATGATTACGCAGAGTAAAATCATTGGAAACAATTTCGCCATAGCGATATAAGTTATTCCTATTTAATCTAGGTTCAACAACATTAGATCTTTTAATTCGATAATATAAGCAAATTAATGTTAGTATCCGTTATATTAATTACTGATGAAGATATAAACCACAAGGAAGTCGTTTTTCGGTCGTCAACAGAAAAAAAAAGTAAAAGAAAAAAAGAAAAAAAAAGGAAAAAAAAGGTTAAAAAAATACCAATTTAAAACTTGAAGTTTAACTGAATGATTTAAGGTAATAAAAAGGTTTTGACATTTAACATATACATATGATATTTTGTTGATTAATATATTATGTTGTTTGCTGTTTATTTTCATAAAAGTATTCGAATTTTATATACACAACGTCTAAAAATCCTCGAATGACTTGTCTAAGAAAATTGATTTGTTTAGAGTTAAACTGGTACTCAACTTATCGGATCTGAGACACCAGATAATATAGAAAGATAAATTTAAGGTTACCTGAGAAATAAGTGCATTCAAACTATTGGACTAAACGTTTAAATTCTACGAACCTCCCTGACACAAAAATGTGTTACACGAACTCATCCTCCCATTTCCTACAGGCGTCACCAACTCTTGTACATTGCAGTACATTCCCTTGCTGTAAAGTCTGGTGGTGCTTGCTGGTTGGGACGTGTTGAGGGCAGACACGGGCAGAAGCCAGTAGCCTGCAGATAAAATAGCCATGTGGTAGTAAATATGATGTAAGGACAGCCGTGTGGAAGTTGGAAGTTGAAAACTTTTCCCAATACCCACCTAGCTTGCACGTTTTGCTTGCCGTGTCATACATGTAATTATAACAATCATTTTTCTTCTCAGTACATTTGGCAGCACACATAAGGTTACTCTTGGTTGTGTATGTTTCATCAAGTGGCAGTAGCGTCAGTTCACTTATGTTTTTGCTGGAATATTGTTCTGTTCTACTGATACTAAGCGCCATCTGTCCTGCAAGATCATTTGTAAAAAACAAAATGACAATGAAATAATTTAACACGTTCAGTGTTTTAGGAATATAATTTTATATGAAGCGACGTTGGGAGATTATTTCTACACTTAAGTAATTTTTTTGTAACCCATTGTGGGTTTGCTAAGTAGACTTCTATACACACGCCCACGCCCTTGTTCACGTTCACGTTCACGTTCACGGCCACGTTCACGTTCACGGTCACGGTCACGGTCACGGTCACAGTCACGGTCACGGTCACGGTCACGGTCACGGTCATGGTCACGGTCACGGTTACGGTTACGGTTACAGTTACAGTTACAGTTACAGTTACGGCTACGGTCATGTCTACGTCTACGTCTACCCTAGAAAAACTTTTTCCTTTGTAAAATTTCAAATTTTTCAGTCAGTGTCACCCCCTTCCCCCCTAAACATCCCTCTGGGTGACAAATATAATGATATTAGGAGAAATATTTTTGTGTATTGTATAGTTAACCGTTTTACGACGTGGTGTCACATCTCTCTACCGTTGGCCGGAAATATCAATGTGTAGTTAAAAGACTATTTAATATAAAATTAATCAATAATTGAACAGGATTTCAGTATGTATTGCAATATTTTGCCAACTCCCCATCCCTAAATCTTGTCACTTGATACGGTCCTCACTACTCGCCCCACCCCCACCCCTTCTCTTGTTACGTTTAAGACACTATGGCATCTGACCATTTAGCTCCAGGTGTGAAACGCAAGTAAAATATAATTAATCTCGAGAAAGAAAACGGTGTCTTTATGTGGGGCAAATACGAGACAATGTGTGGCTAATTTCCCACGTGACTTAATTGACTGGTCACGTACTGCAAACTGAAATCACCGATCTTTAGAGATTTTATAAATAACTTCTCTAAAAGGTTTAACCATGTTAAGTAAATATTAGTTTAATCATAATCAAATGTTGCACTCCTTACAAAACAGTACAATACAGAGTGTAACATTTTGATGCGTATTATCCAAGCTACTTAGAAACAAGTGTCCCAACCTAAGGCCTGAAACATGAGTATAAATGCATTAAATGTGTGGACAATATAGCTAAATATTCATTATGTTAAAGGATTTGAAAAAAATTTTTGATTTAAAATTATCTTTACGTTTAAGATATATTAAAGTTTTCACACCAGCTATTAAAAAGAAGTATTGCATGTTTTTCTCAAAATATGATAAAATAAAAATTAATTTACATGCGAAAAAATCCGACACAATTTCATTTTGGAAAACTGAGCACATTTCAATGTAAAAATCTCAATGTAACGCCACCTGATTGAAATTTACCTTGAAAAATAACCGTCAGAATTATAAGAATATCCATTTGTCTTCGGCTTGTTAGAATAGCACAAGTGACATTAAAGTATGTGTCTACTGAAAAAATGAGACACTATACTAATTTCGAAAGTCGGTGAAATGAAATAACTTCTATTTGTTTATAGTTGTACCGCGGCATAGATTCTTTATCATCGGTTTTTATCACCGATTTTCCGTACAGAGCATGGAAGCGTTTAATGAATTCATCGATTCTTCTGCTTGACAGGATTCGTTTTTCAATTGTCTCAAACATATCGTTTAGCGTATCTTTAAAGTAATTGAATACAGCTACCAATCAGCAAAGTTGTGAAATAATTATGTGTTTTCTATGCATGAAGCTGACAGCTGGCTATGATCAAACGGAATTTTGTGTGAGTTTATAACGTATCTCCTCCGTAGCAGTAAAAAAAAAATGTTTTCAACACGATCGTTCAAAACGGCCAGGACTCCGGTATATAACCTTAATACGGTATCATAATTAATTAACATTCAGGGATAGTGTCTAATAGAGTGTGTCCCTATCTTTTATCCTAATATAATTCGACCTGAGGTGTTTGTCCTTGAGATCATTTGTCCTTGCATGCAATTAACTTTAATGACAGAAACGGCTCTCATACTGTTCTAACCATACACAAACAGCTGGAGCGCTGGACGGAAACCACAAATCTGCGCATGCGTACTTCAAACGACTATAACCTAGTGCTGTCTGAGTATGATTAGTTTCAGTTCAGAATAGTTCAGTGGCGGAACTAGAAAAAAGGCCCCCCCCCACGAAAAATGTTGTGGGCCCCCTTATATATATATATTAAATATATATATATATATATATATATATATATATATATATATATATATATAGTATATATATAGTATATATATATATATATAGTATATATATATATATATAGTATATATATATATATATATATATATATATTCGTACAAGAGTATATAAACATGTAAGTTTGAATTGCGCAATGGTTTCTCGCGTTATGTTTATTTGTATGATTTTTTATTTATATTATTAATTTTCAATACATTTATTTTTAGAGCTAAACGATTCTTTAATTGGTCTTATTTAAAAAAAAACAAAATAATCTATTGCTTTTTAATGTATACGTTCGAAAACTATTTAAATTAGCTTTGTGGGCACCCTTATTTTAAAGAAGGGCGGTAAGTCATGGAAGTGGTGTGAACGTTTGCCTATCTGTCAAAACTCAAGCTTTTGTAGATTTTAAATATTTTTCTACGCAACAGTATGTGTTAGTTACCATAGTAGACATGTTGTTTTTTTACAAAACCACTGTCAAGGTGCACGAATAATATTATTAATGAAAAGATAATACATTGTTTTTTTTTGGTCGGAATTGGGCCCCCAAACGCGCTGGGCTCCCCCCACCCCCGCATTGCGGGTTCCGGCGGCATGGTAGTTCCGCCCCTAGTGTGTTCACAAAATATTGAGAATCCCCATTCTGTAAGTTAATTAGTTAACAATGCAGTGACCCATAACCGCACCCTAGGATACTATTACTTGTGCAATTAGGTGTGTCCGTGTTTGCTAATGTTTTATGTATTCTGTCAATTTTTTAAGTTAAGTTTTTTTTCCTCCTATCTTGCCTACGTATCAATGCCAATAAATAACAATAAAGCCCCCCCCCCTTTCCTCTCGAGTGCTAGAAAAACTGATCTCGCTGGAGCTCAATAGCTGGATAAAACGATCAATTTCTAACACCACGCCTTTTATACCTCTGTCTATTACATCCTTATATACCTCTGATTATAACATCCATATATACCTCTGTCTATAACATCCACATATATCTGTCTATAACATACATATATACCTGTCTATAACATCCATATATACTTCTGTCTATAACATCAATATATACCTCTGTCTATAGCATCCATATATACCTCTGTCTATAATATCACGTCATATATAGTACCTATTTCTGGTTGTAACATAACTCCTCCCCACCCAATGGCGTAGCTAGGGGAGAGCAGGTGGGACGACGACCGCAAGGGAGCGCCTAACTGGGTAGAACCAAATGAAAAAGCTCATCTTAGACTGAAGTATTGAATTATAGATAGTCAACGTTTAGAAAATAAACGGATAAAAGGCTTTAAAAACTGATTTAACTATTTTCTACATCAACAGTGTGGCACAAAAAAAGACAACGGTTACGGAATAGTGATAGGTAGAAAGCTCCACAAACCTGGCCGTGTTCCACATGTGGTCGTGTTAGTGTTCCACAATTGGTGAAAGAATAGCTCCACATGTGGTGGTGTTAGTGTTCCACAATTGGCGAAAGAATAGCTCCACATGTGTTCGTGTTAGTGTTCCACAATTGGCGAAAGAATAGCTCCACATGTGGTCGTGTTAGTGTTCCACAATTGGTGAAAGAATAGCTCCACATGTGGTGGTGTTAGTGTTCCACAATTGGTGAAAGAATAGCTCCACATGTGTTCGTGTTAGTGTTACACAATTGGTGAAAGAATAGCTCCACATGTGGTCGTGTTAGTGTTCCACAATTGGCGAAAGAATAGCTCCACATGTGGTGGTGTTAGTGTTCCACAATTGGCGAAAGAATAGCTCCACACGAGGTCGTGTTAGTGTTCCACAATTGGTGAAAGAATAGCTCCACATGTGGTCGTGTTAGTGTTCCAAAATTGGCGAAAGAATAGCTCCACATGTGTTCGTGTTAGTGTTACACAATTGGTGAAAGAATAGCTCCACATGTGGTCGTGTTAGTGTTCCACAATTGGCGAAAGAATAGCTCCACACGTGGTCGTGTTAGTGTTCCACAATTGGTGAAAGAATAGCTCCACATGTGGTCGTGTTAGTGTTCCACAATTGGTGAAAGAATAGCTCCACATGTGTTCGTGTTAGTGTTCCACAATTGGTGAAAGAATAGCTTAATGTGCAAGCTACCAGGATTGGGGAGGGGAGGCCGAATTTACGGCAAATAGAAACGCAAATTGGCTGGTAGCTTTGATTTAAGGCTATAAGCTTTTTTTCTTCGGTTTTACGTTCAATAGACATATTAAGTCGGCGGCTAATATGATTCGCATTCACATCAAAAGTTAAAAGTAGAATTAGAACATTCAGTAGGTCTATATCGTAGGATAGGTGAGACAGCACATTTTATTTCTAATTTGATTTGATCATTCACTGTCTATCAGATTGTCTACTTCGACTGTACGAGGCTTTTGTTTCTATATTCATTTTTATTTGTTTACATTACAAGCAATAACATATTATCGACAATTTAGAGGTAAATAAGGTTTAAATTTTATTTGAAAAAAATTAATAAAGGAATATGTATTTAATATATAAGATGCTATGGTGCACAAAAAAAACGTTTTTTAATTTAAGAAAAACATC